TATTTGACTTTTCTTCTATTTGCCAACCTTGTGCTTTGCTGTATTTGTTGCCTTTCAGACAAAACCAAAGGGCAGCCTTAATCATTCATCATGATTATGCATCATGATTTTATGTTTTATGCTCTTCTTTGTCATCTTTGTCTGTTTTTCAATTCCAATCTGCAAGTTGTTGTCAGCTAGACCTTCCCTTACTCAAATGCCCATAACTTCTTCTAGAAAAATAATATTAACAATCTGCGAAGTGTTCTAGAAAATAGACATCTGTAGCTTTCCAAGCATATAAGGCTCATTCTCTAATTCATTCTGAGCTGTTCGCAACTTGCTCCCAAAGTCAGCTGATCTACACAAGCAGTTTTGACGAATATATTACATAAAATTTCACTTGTTCTATTTTTATTTTCTTTGCATAACAAATCCTATAAACACAAAAATAACGTAAATAGCTCAAAAATATAAGGAACTAACTAAGAAAAGATGAGTGAATTCGAAGTAAAAATATATAAAAATATGATCCGATCAAATACTCCGAATCCATGCTCTCTGATGCCGATTCAAGCGACAGTTCAGCCATGCAAGTCATGACCATTGGTGCAACTTCAATCGATGAGCAGCTGGCTCAAATGAATGAAGCAATCGCANCAAAATCAGAAACATGTTAGTATAAATTAAAATTAAAATTGGAGAAGATGGCTTACTTTCTTTTTCCGACACAAACTCAATGACAAAACACCACATTTTTGAACATTTCCGGGACTTTGAACTTGGCCAGGTTTACTATGATGGTTGTGGCTTGTCCCGTGTTCAAACTCAACTGCTTTGGGCTTGATTGTCTCATGCACAGCTCTTGGATGTATTCTTGATATGCTTCAACCACTTCATTTTCTTGAATCCCTTTTCTTGGTTGCAAGGTTCTTTGAACGTTTCAATACCATCGGGGAACTTTGTTTTGGTGCACCAAGATTGGGATATCACTTGCACCTTTGGAAGAGCTTCCACAATGCTTTTTCACTCTCTTTGATATTTGGAATCAAAAACCTGCAAGGACAAAAGGACATTCGGTGGAATAATGTTAGAAGAAGTGAATTTAGAACTTCCTCACCTGAGTTGGATGACATAGGGATTTGAGGAGGTTGCAGCAAAATTCTTCTAAACTGCCCAGGTCGTCCTCCTCATCTTCTGCTTGCAGCATCAATTCATCCATGTTCGGTGCTGTTTTGATGGTTCTGGACAGCTTCATCCTTCATGTCACCTTCCAAAGTGATGGCTTCATCGATTTCACTTTCTGCCTTGAATTTGCAATGTTTGAGTTGGAAAGTTCACTTTGATCTCGAATCTGTGCCATGAATTCCACAATCTGCCCAAACTTGCATATCCATTCGTCCACTCTTTTGACTCGGTCTTGCATCTCCTGGTTTTGATTTTCTACTCCCTGATTCAAAGAGGTGAGTAACTTATTAAGTGTATCATTATTCAAGGACGTACCTGAATTGAATTGGGCTGATTGTTGTGTGGCTGTGACGGTTCAATATGGCCACTGATAGAACTCTTCCGTGGCGACAATTGTTCTTCTTTTTGTGAACCCGCGTCAAAGAAATTAGTCCTTCAAAATTTCATATAATTCACGGCATACTTTGATTTGATTGGAATTGTTGTGGGGGATGCTGTGGGGCTGCATAGGTTTTGAATAGAACTCGTCTTGCTGCAATATCCACCTTGTTGAAATTGTTGAGGTTCATCCCACAATAATCTGAATTACCTCTCCAATTGAATTGCAAGCATTGGAAAACATGTTGCCCCTTGATTGGTTTGGCCTTGATATCCCCAAACATCTTCATTTTGCAGAAAATGAGGACTTTGATATCCTTGCCCATAGGGCACATCAAGTGTAGGGACACTTGGCATTGTGTCCGTTCGGCATTATGAGTCAATTGAGCAGTGAGCTGTGCCAATTGAGCTTGAATGGTCGCAAATGCCATGTCTTGCTCCATTTGTACCTAAAATCAAAAAAGAAAACTAATCAAATATCAAAAGTAAAATACACAAACACCAATATAAACATAAACAAAAAAAAATAAAGGGATTAGCAAAGTTGCTAATCCCCGGCAACGGCGCCAAAAATTGATGCGAATAATATAAGCACACAAAATTTACCCTCTTTTTGAATTGTAGTATAGATGTATAGGGTATCGTTCTAGGCCGGGGATTAGGAGGGATTGCTAATCTATTCTAAATTAATTTAAAAATATTAAACAAGACTCAAAGACACAAAACTAGGCTAAACTCTAATAATCGAACACACTTAGAATGACTCAAAATAATGAAAACAATCAAATTGACCACTAGGAAATGAAATGGACGGAAATTGAATTAAACACTAACAACAATGAAAACTAACTAAATAATATAATTTAATAATGGGGGGGGGGGTTTGGTTTTGACGAGAAGTAAATTAACTTAAATAAATTACAGAATTGACAAAAGCATGAATTAAGGTGAAATGATAGGTGACGGACTGCTAGAGGGTTCTTTCCACACATGAACATATGCACCTAAATTGATTTTCAGTTGTTCTTTCAATAAATTGTAAATCTCAATGCCCCAAAATAACCGTGATGCACTAATTAACCTTCAGTTTTTCCACAAGTTATTGGGTTATGATTGCATACGACAACCCAAAACATTCCCTACAAGTTCCCTACATGAATTGCATAATAGAATACAAACAACAATCATTATTCTATGAAAAAAAGCATTGACGAGGACACTCGTTACTATGATTTGCATGAAATTATGCCAAGAATACTTAACGTGATTGTGCTAGCAACCTTCACTACTTGTGAATATAGTTCATAACGATTAGGTGAAACTCCCTTATATTCTAGCGTCAAAATTCATGCATGTAAATTAGTTATGCATTCTTAATCGACATACAAAAAATAAGCTATCAATCAAGCAGTTAACAAATTAAATCACAACTCAGAAATCACAATTGAAGGTAATCAATTCATATTACAAATATATTCATGGCTTTGAATTAACCTCTAGCCAAAATAAATTTAGTTACACATTATTAAAACAGAAATAAAATATAAGTTTGGAAAGATTTAACCGAGAGATAAGGCAGCTTGCTCCTTCTGTTTTTCTCCCCGCAAGTGCTGCTTCGCTGCTTTCACTTCTCTGCTCTCCGCCCTCACTCTGCGCTTCTCTCTCCGCACACTTCCCTGCTTTCACTTCTCTGCTCTCTGCCCTCACTCTTTCCCGTCTGTTCTATCTATCCATCTCTCTGCCTTCCGTCCTCACTCTTTTGCTTCTGTTCTATCTATCCATCTCTCTGCCTTCTGTCCTCACTCTTTTGCTTCTGTTCTATCTATCCATCTCTCTGCCTTCTGTCCTCACTCTTTCGCTGGAGCCCTCATCTACTTGCTGTTTTTATTTATTTCTTTATTTGACTTTTCTTCTATTGCCAACCTGTGCTTTGCTGTATTTGTTGCCTTTCAGACAAAACCAAAGGGCAGCCTTAATCATTCATCATGATTATGCATCATGATTTTATGTTTTTCTCTTCTTTCATCTTTGTCTGTTTTTCAATTCCAATCTGCAAGTTGTTGTCAGCTAGACCTTCCCTTACTCAAATGCCCATAACTTCTTCTAGAAAAATAATATTAACAATCTGGAATGTTCTAGAAAATAGACATCTGTAGCTTTCCAAGCATATTAAGGCTCATTCTCTAATTCATTCTGAGCTGTCGCAACTTGCTCCCAAAGTCAGCTGATCTACACAAGCAGTTTTGACGAATATATTACATAAATTTCACTTGTTCTATTTTTTATTTTCTTTGCATAACAAATCCTATAAACACAAAAATAACGTAAATAGCTCAAAATATAAGGAACTAACTAAGAAAGATGAGTGAATTCGAAGTAAAAAAATATAAAATATGACCGATCAAATACTCCGAATCCATGCTTCTGATCGATTCAAGCGACAGTTCAGCCATGCAAGTCATGACCTTGGTGCAACTTCAATGATGAGCAGCTGGCTCAAATGAATGAAGCAATCGCAAGGCTAACCCGAACTGTGGAAGAAAAATTGCAAAATGCGCACTAGTAACCGACTGGAGGCGCAGGACGACGATAAACCCGACCCAGAGGATGATCATTAAAGGAGGAGCTGGCGGAGACGAAGAACCCCCGGTGAAAAAACGATGGAAGCCGGAGCCAACCAAGCAGCGGCACTATGGGATCTCTTTCTATCCAGCGCTGCAGGAAATGATCACCAACACCATCAGGACAGTACGAAGGGAGCTCACATACCATTGTTTACTCGAAGCCCTATTCCAAGAAGATTGATCCCTAAGGATGCAAGGGGTTATCAAACCACCAAGTTCATGCAGTTTGTGGAAAAGGAAACCAAAGCAGCACGTTGCACATTTCGTCGAAATGCAACACGCGGGAGGAGGGAGACACCTCGCCAAGCGTGTGCGCTCGCTGAAAGGAATGCCTTTGAGTGGTACACGGACCTAGAGCCTGAGTCCATCAAAAGGCTGGGGGCAATTGGAAAGGGAATTCCTCAACGCTTCTACAGCACCCCCGCACTGTGGCATGCTAGAACTACGAGCACAAACAGTGGAATGCGAGCCAGTCATTGACTACATCAACAGATGGCGCACTCTAAGCCTCGACTGTAAGCAGCTCTCGGAACTCTTCAATCGAGATGTGCATCCAAGGCATGCAATGGGGTTGCAATACATCATTCAAGGCATTTAAACCACGGACTTTCGAGGAATTGGCCACTCGCGCCCATGACATGGAGTTGAGCATCGCCCATCATGGGAAGAAAGAACCGATCGCTGACTACAAGAACGACAAGTTTCTTGGGCCAAAATTGGAGAAGGACTGCGTGGAAACCCACCAAGGAAGCAATGACGGTCAACACAGCTCCCGTCAAAATCCCTACACGAGGCAAGGCGATTCAAACCGAAGCTTTTCGTGATCAAGAGATGCGTAGACGCACTTTGAAGGGCTTGAGGAGAGGACTTATCCATTCCCTGACTCTGATGTGGTTGCAGTTAGAAGACTTGCTGGAAAAAGGTGTCGGCTTGCCTGAGTGTAGACGGCAGAAGGATGAATCGCACCGACAGTCCAAGTACTGTAAATTCCACCGCTACATCAGTATCCGACAGAAAAATGTTTCGTGCGAAAGATTCATCATGAAGCTGCTCAGAAAGGAATCTCGAGCTAGATTTGACATGTGGTGAGTTCAAACTATACACCTTTACTTCTGCTCTTCCGATCAAATTTTCACCTCAACCGCTGGGGGCATCTCAAGACAGCAAAATGAAGGATGGACTCAAGTCACTCCTAAGAATTGCACAAAGAAGCAACGTCTCATCACAAGTCACCAATCGGAAAGGGGCAAAGCAGCCTTGTCAAACTTCAACAACGTGAACGTGTGAAAATGTGAAATTCAACACATAGATCGTCCATCCCATCACGATGCGTGATTTTTCCTAAGACTTTCAATCATCGTCAAGGCTCCTGCTTGAAGATTGTGAGGAACGCCCTCCAAAATTGCTTGACAAATTCACAAAGTCCTCGCCGCACGAGCCTAAACTGCTGGCACAACTCCTGTCTGCATTGAGCATAAAAGGCAACCCAACGCTCCTTGTCTGACGAGTTAAAACTGCAAACGACACCAACACTCATTGCCGCTAGTTAAAATTGCAAACGGACAAAAAGAAATGCAAAAAAAAAAATTATTATATATATATTATGTATGTATTTGAACTACGTTTTGACTTGATCTCTTTCTTTGGAAGGGTACGTAGGCAGCTTGAATATTCAATTTCAAGTTCAGTCACATCAAAATAAAAAAAAATGTGTTTTAAATAGAGTCAATTTTATTACAAAAAAAAAAGAAAAAAATGAATACATATGTATTTACAAAAAAATAAAATAATAATAATACATATGTTATAATGTATTATAATATATATATATATATATATATATAATCAATGGTGGGCTAGATTGTTGAGGATGAAGCCGAAACCGTGAGCCCAGCTACAAAATCAGGCCCAGTTCTTCACCTCCAGCAAATTCCTCAGCACGTGGCGCATCTCGGGGAATGAGGACAACTTAGATTCCCTCATTTACACCTACACCAACTCACACTCTCAGATTACAAAGATCCAACGGTCATCAGTCACCGAGAGTTCGATCTCTGCTTGGTTTGATCTTGTAATTAAAGCGAGAATTGAGGGCAAGGAAGAGGATGTTAAGCTGGGAGCGAACAAGTTCTTGGAGAGGCATCCAATCGGGACGTCGGCTCAGACCCAGGACGAAGGGAAAGACTACAAGGAGCCGCCGCCGGCTCCACTGTTCGAGCCCGGTGAGCTGACGTCATGGTTGTTTTACAGGGCTGGGATCGCCGAGTTCATCGCCACTTTCATGTTCCTTTACATCACAATCTTGACGGTGATAGGAGTCGTCAAGTCGAAGTCGAAGTGTACGACGGTCGGGATTCAAGGCATCGCTTGGGCTTTTGGCAGGACCATCTTCGCCCTCGTCTACAGCACCGTCGGCATCTCCAGTGGTCATATAAACCCAGCGGTGACTTTCGGGCTGTTTTTGGCCAGGAAGTTGTCGCTGACCAGGGCGGTGTTATACATAATTATGCAGACCCTCGGAGCTATCGCCGGTGCCGCCGTCGCGAAGGGCTTCGAGAAGAGCTCCACCTTCGAGATACTGGGCGGTGGTGCCAACTCTGTTGCCCATGGTTACACCAAGGGTAAAGAACTTGGTGCTGAGATCATCGGCACCTTTGTCTTCGTCTACACCGTTTTCTCCGCTACCAACGACCACTAACCATGACGGCGGCGGAGAGGCCTCAGAGTTGTCAGAGATTTGCAGTTTCTGACATATCTGCACCTAAGATTTGCCAACTCCCCAACCCAGCGCAGAAATTCTGGTGAATCAGCACATCAAAGGCCATGAAGTTAGTTCTGGTGAAACCCATCGAAGGCCTGCACAAGTCAGACCTGGCGAAGTTCTCGGACCTGGTCGACCCGCCCGAGTCGTGCGCTGGGTGTCTGTACAAGTAACCAGGTCGGGGATCCTGTCACTGCCGAGCTTATTTTGTAAAAGCCGGCGTTGAGTTCCTCTTCCATTCAACCAATCCAGGCCTTAAGCTCCATCACGCGGTCTTCCATGGTGTGCATGTCAAACATCACCTACCAGATCTGGAGCTTCTCCTCCGCGGTCCGCTGTTAATCGCCCTCTGCACCAGTATTGATGGTGATGTGATTGAGTGAGAGAGAGAGAGAGAGTCTTCATGTCTTCTTCTCTTGTTCGGATGAAACACGACAAGCAGGAGGTGAAGGTCCCAGCAATACCAACACCACCAACCTTTCATCTTCTCTACTATTTGGGTCAATGGATTCTCGTCCTTCTCATTCTTCCTTGCTCTGCCTTTGCTGCCTGTGATCGGCTCGATCGCGACACTCTTTTGTCCTTGCCCTTCAACACACCGTTGAATTGGTCTGCTTCCACTGACTACTGCCTTTGGGATGGAGTCAACTGCGACCCGGTTGAGCACAGCTGCGTCGTCCGGCATTCTCTGCCCAAGAGAGGCTTATCCGGTGTCGTCTCTCCGTCCATCATGAACCTCACCAATCTCAGGATCCTCGAGCTTTATTCGAACAACTTCTTTGGGCAAATCCCTGGGGATATTGGTAACCTTTTCAGGTTGGAGAATCTGCTCCTCCACATCAACAACTTCACAGGTGCCTTGCCCCCGTCCCTCACCAACTGCACAAATCTATCCACCTTGAATTTGCGGGTTAACAACTTAAATGGACAGCTCTCTGCCTTCAATTTTTCCACTCCCTCGAGCTCGTTGACATTGCCACCGTGAAGCACCGGGAAATCGAGATTCCTGGCGAGAAGCTGCCCGTGGAGTCTGAGAATGGAGGATATGGAAATGGGCATTTGGTGGCGGATGCTGCCACTACGGCGGAGGTGGAGATCTGGGTAGAGTGCAGGCCGACGAGATGGGTCAGGTCGCAAAGCAGAGCTTTGGGGCCTAGGATTGTTCTGAACATCGGTGCTATGCGGCGGTTCTCCGAAGCTCAGCTTCATCCTGCAAATTCCTCAAACCCGTCCTCCAAATTTATATAAAAAAAATTAAAAAATAAAAAAAAATAAAAAATAAAAAAAAAAGGAAAAGCAAAGGTGGTGCCAGCACCATGAAAGAAAAAATATATATATATATATATATATATATATAAATAATAATAATGAAAAGATATGGGATGGTGCATGCAAAAGAAAGTGGTGGTGGCTAGCACCGAAAGAAAAAAAAGAAAATATAATAATAAAAAAAAGGGTCATGATGGTGCGGTGTGTGCATATATATATATATAATGTAATATGTATAAAAATTATATATATAATTGCATTAAGAGAAATAAAGTTTATTTTATTTATTTCTATATAAAAAAAAACATTGAGAGAAATAAGGTCCATTTTATTTATTTCTCTGGAAAGATTACATAAATTTGCATTATACATGCTTTAAAAAAAAAAAAACATTGAGAGAAATAAGGTCCATTTTATTTATTTTTCTGGAAATTTTACATAAATTTGCATTATACATACCTAAAAAAAATAAAAAAAATAAAAAATCAAATTTACAAGAGGGGATCTTCAAGGACGATCAGGTGGCGCCTCAGTACTCGACGGACCCAGAGGAAGAGGCACCGAAGGTTGTCATGAGGCTTCTTAAGCGGTACAGCCCCAGAAGACGAAGCAAATGCTGTTGGAAAAACCCACAACCTCTTGATGATTCAAGTAAAATCTGACCATCAGATTCCTGCATCTGGTTAATCTTCCTCTTCATGTTTGTCGCATAGCTATGTGCGAGCTTATGCAACTGTTTATTCTCCTGCTTGAGCCCTCTAATCTCCTGCTTGAGACTCATCACTTCCGCCACCAATGATTCAACTTGACGGGTTCGAGCAAATAGGCGTTGGGCCATATTAGACACAGAACCTGCACACTGCACACTGAGAGCCAGAGAATCCTTAACAGCCACCTCATCAGACCGTTTGGAAAGTAGTCTGTTATCTCTGGGAATGACAAGGTTCCGGGCCACCACCGCAGCGGTCATATCATTCTTCACCACTGAATCCCCAACGGTAAGAGGACCAGTAGGGGATATGAAGGATGGGCGCCATATGTTGTTTGGAGAAGAAGGGATTGCCTCTTCACCAAGGTTCAAGTCAAAACGACGATCGGAGGGGCCAAACATTTTCAAAATGTTGAAGAAAGAAAAGATCGGACAAATCAAGATCTTAGAAGTGCAAGAAGGGAGTTTTCACAAGCGAAAATTCAAGTGTGCTTTGAAACGAACAACATGCCTCTATAAAAAATCAGCACTCGACGGGATTTCAGAGATCGAAGAGGCGAGCTCAGAATTCGAAGGGGCCAATTCAAAAATCAAAGAGGTGCTAGCTTTCTCAAAAGCTGGGCTTGCTAAAAAAAAACCACGGGCGATCTTCATTTCCAGACTTGTTCGCATTTGTCACATGCAACCTCTACACTCGACGAAGCTCAGAAATCGGAGAGGCATCTTGCTTTTCCAGACGCATCAGCACCCATTACACGCAAACTCAGCTTTGCGGAAATCACGGGTAATTTGTCGAAACGTCGATCCCAGATATCGACGAGGTGCCAGTCTTTTCAGCCGCGTCAACACCTGTCATATGCACACTCAACTTTGCGCAAATCACGGATAATTTGTCGAAGATTATTGGGTGAAGGAGAAAGCACGTGAAGTTTATTGTTCAATCATCCAACGGTTGCCGACACGAGTAAAAGAATAGTACCTCTACAGGTATTAAAAGAACTTCGTATAATTGTCCACCTTCACCTTCCATAGCAAGGCAGACATACAAAGCTTTTCTTCATCTCCAAAAATGCTTTCCCAACGAAGCCTCTCGAGTCATTCAATGTTCTTTATTCCTTGGGGTACCTCTGCAAGCCAATGACTCCAAAGCAAAAGTATCTCATATCACCAGGGTAGAAGCAAAGGTATCTATATCATGCGTTCTCCCTGTCCTTCCTTTGTCCTTGTTCTGACCTACAAGACAAGGATAAAGAAAACATATGCCGGAACTCCACTCAAATCGGTAGACCGATGCTTGGAACCCTTCCCTGATTGCCTACCTAGCCTGCTCTCGGTACTCGTTCCCACTGCTGCTGTACTTCCAAGAATCTCCACATCAGCCTGAAGAATTAGATAAGGCAATGAAATGATACTTAGATTGGAGACAACGTGCAGAAGGAACAAGCAGAGAAGAATGCAGCTGCACAGTCAACTCAGCAGAAGGAGTCAGCTGGCTGGAGATGAAGAACTCGAGAAGCTGCCACATGCTGCCTGAAGAAACAAGCAGAGAAAGAATGTAGCATGCACAGTCAACTCAGCAGAAAGAGTCTGAGATTAAGACTCGAGAAAGATGCCGCATCTGCCTGAGGACGGTGAACTTCATTTTGACCCTCAAATTCTTGGGTCGACTTACTAGGCGTTGTGGGCTGCACATGCCGATTCACCCCCTTGAATCAAATCCTTAAAGACCAAAGTCACCAACTGGAGAAGAGGCCCTCAATCTTGAAGATCATACCGCTGACCAAACTGCTCAGGTGTGAATTGGAAATATTGAACAAAGAAACAGGTTGTCACCTTTACCTCGTGCCTGCTTGCCATGTGTTCGAGTCAACCTTCAAGAATCAAGTCAACGGCCCTTGAAGAATTTCCAGCCAAATTCAAGATCAAGCCTCGACGGCCTTGAGGAAATCACAAGTCCGATTCAGATCAAGTTCTACCACTCTTGAATCAAAACCTAGTTTCAAGAATAAACTGTGGAAAATCAACAATTGGAGGAATCCAAAAGATCCTCCAATCCAGTTCGAGATCAAAGCTGTGGAAAGTCAACAAGCGCAACAAAATACGTGCCGATTCACCCACTACCAAAGCCAAAGATCATCTACCACATGAAGCTCCTTGTGGCCCAATTTCAACCTTCAAGATCAAGCCTCGACGGCCCTTGAAGAAATTTCAAAAGAAAGTTCAAGAACAAGCCTCAACGGCCCTTGAAGAAATCTCAAGCCCAATTCAAGATCAAGCCTCAACGGCCCTTGAAGAAATCTCCAGCCCAATTCAAGATCAAGCCTCGACGGCCCTTGGATCGACATCTACAGTAAGGGACTTCAAAATGCATCTCCTACACGTGACAAGCACATGTATACGACGTGCCTTGAAGTGGGGGCATTTGTAGACATCGAAATTTCGGTAAATAAATGTTTTGACCGATAAATCAAAGTGTCAACGCTCATGTATTACATAAATTTTAACGTAGCGTGTGACTAAACGAAAATTGAAATGAGTTGGAAAAGTCATCAAATAGGACACGTGTCAACACCTGGCAGAAACAACTTATTTCATCTGGGATATTATATTCAAGATTAGGCCTTGGAAAAATCTATAAATACAAGCCCATTTCATTCATTTGGGGAGGGGAACCAAAATCATTAGGCAAAACTCTTGAAGCTCTGAAGCTCTGAAACTCTGAAGCTCTCAAGCATCCAGGTTCCCGAAGAATCAAGAAAGCGTTCTTCGTTCATCGTTCATCCTAAGATCAAGCCCCAACGGCCCTTTGGATCAACAATCATCCACCAATTCAAGATCAAGCCCCGACGGCCCTTGAAGAAAGTGTTCTTCGTTCTTCGTTCATCGTTCTTCCAAGATCAAGCCCCGGCGGCCCTTGGATCAACCATCCACCAATTCAAGATCAAGCCCCGACGACCCTTGAAGAAAGCACCATCGTTCATCATCCGTTCATCCAAGATCAAGCCCCAACGGCCATTTGGATCAACAACGTCGACAAATCCACACATCCAACCGTTCTTCAAGATCAAGCCCAAAAGCCCTTGAAGATCCGTTCATCATTGTTCTTCAAGATCAAGCCCAAAAGGCCCTTGGAGATCCGTTCATCACTGTTCTTCAAAGATCAAGCCCAAAAGCCCCTTTGAAGATTCGCTCAAATCCACTTCAGATCAAGTCCAGGCCCTTGAAGAACGTTCATCCTTAGATCAAGCCCAACGGCCCTTTGGATCAATCGCACATCCACAAATACACACCTTACGGAGATTGAATCAGAGGATCAAAATAGAGAGAGATTGTAACCCAAAATCATCAAATACAAATATTTGTTTGTGCGCGTCGTTCTTGTCTCTTCCGTTTCAGGAATTTTCCATGTTCACAACTTTTTCAACCATTTTAAAAGTACTATCAAAAGAGCAATAAATTGTTTATTAGTTGGTTGTTTGGTCCAAGTAATTGCCATGATCTGTAAATTGGAAAAGGAAAATACTTGAAATTATATTATAATTTTTTTTTATATTGGGATAAACTCAATCCTTGGACAGTGAAACAACAAAAAAAGAGACCTCACAAAACGTTATTATTCATGAAATTATAAGAGTTTGTTTGATATTCTACTTAAATCTAACTTTTTAAACTCAAAAATAATTTTCAAGTTTTAGGCTTTAAAAATTTGTTTGGTATGAGTGTTTTAAAAAACTGAACTCAAGACTAACTAAAAAGTATAGTTTATTATTTAAAAACATAAATATGAGTTTTTAGAGTTTTTAAACTTAAACTCACTCATTTCTTTTTTCTCTCTCCCCCCTCTCACTCTAAATCTCTATCTCTCTCTCTCTCTCTCTCTCTCTCTCTCTCTCCTTTTTTTTTATTTTTTTAATTTTTTTAATATTTTTATATCTTTTTCGTCTTTTCTCCAATTCGCTATCTCTTCTTCTTTATCTCTCTTTTTTTTTTTTTTTTTTATATATTTTTCGTCTCTTCTCCAATTCGCTATCTCTTCTTCTTTCTCTCTTTTTTTTTTTTAATTTTTTTAATTTTTTATATCTTTTTCGTCTCTTCTCCAATTCGCTATCTTCATTATTTCGTTATTTCTCTCACTCATTTTCCTCTCTATCTCGTCCAATCATCTCTCTTCTTTCTCTTTCCTTCATTTATCTCTTACTTTCTTTCCTCCTCTCTTTTCTTTCTCCCTCTCCTACGACTCTCTTTTTTTAGATCTATTTGTCTAGTTTGAGTCGTACAATTTAAAAATTTTAAATCGCAAACCAATCAAGTTTTTAAGTTTTAAAGAAAATTGTTTTCAAGAAATGTTTTTAAGAAATGTTTTGAGAAATGATAAAAAATTTCAAATACGATACCAAACAGGCCCTTAATGATAGTTCTAGCCATCGCTCTCCTAGGGTTTACGAGAAAACCTAGAGGGCCTTTTTTTTCTTAGTTAGAATTATTAACTTGGCTAAACTAACCACTTAAAAGCCAAGTGCTCTTTTACCCCTAGGTTGGACATAACCTAATAGGCAAGCGAGGCAGAGTCGTTTATTTAGTCTTACAACGCACTCACTCTTTTTCAAAGATTTAAATATTTAATTTTACTTTAAAATTTCAATTTTCCAACTTTTTGTAGATCTTCTCTAATGTTAGAAATGTTCCAAGTTCTAATTTTTTCTCTCCTTATCATAAAAATAAAATTTTTGAAAAAAAAATTATTACAACAAAGCTCTTAGCCCAAGTGATTAGGATAATCTGCACCCAAGATCTTAAATATCATCCTACATCTTCAAATTTCAATAATAAAAATTAGAGATAAGACCCACCAACACATGTATCTCTATTAAATAAATGATACAAATAATAGTAAAAATATATGATAAGAATATCATTCTTGATAAAAATAAATAACCATTCCAATTCTGACAAATTTAGAGCATCGCTGGAAGTCAACCAAATGCAAGGGCAATTGGATTGAACTGCCTTTGGCCCAAAAAAAATCAACTTCACCAAGGAAAAAATGGACGACAATTGCAAGAAAGGCATGTACTTTGGCAGTTGCCCTGTCAAAGTAAACAATTGGCCAGTTCAACTGTGATGATTAATCTAAGTATAAAAAAATTCATAAATATCATAAAAATTATTAGGGTAAATTACATAGTTGTTCCTTATGTTTGAGGTGTATTATAATCCTATACAACATCTTTAAAACATTTCACTTTCATACCTCAAATACTATTTTATTTCAAAATAATACATCTATTACATTTTCTATCCATTGATCTGTTAAGTGCGGGTGGCTACTACCTAAAAAAAACCTGAATCTTCTAAAAAAAAAAAAAAAAAAAAAAAAAACTGAAAAACGCAGAACCCACTCCACCTTCCCCGCAACCCCTCCCCACCCCTCTTCTCCCTCCTGAGACTCCCAGCCCACATCTTCTACATCAACCCACAACTTCTACAACCCATGAAAAACGCAGCCGCGACCTTCGAACCTCACAGGGTCGCAGCAAAACACAGCTTCGAACCTCACATGGCCGTAGCAAAACCCAGCTTCAAACCTGCAAAGTCACGAAAAAATCCAGATTTCAAACTCAGAAACTCTGCAATCTACAAGGCCACAGCTTCAAACCAAACGGAAAAATCGAAGCCCTAATTGAGAAATCGCATTGCAGGGGACTTAAAGGGTAAAGTAAGTAAGGAGATTTCAATCCCAAACCCAACAATTTCAAGAAGAAAAAAAAAATCTAGCAGACATAATTGAAATCCCCCGCGCAATACCAAGAGAAAAAACGAAGAAAAATTGAGGATTTTTTAAGCCCTAGAACAAGTAAAGACAGCGGCGATTGGGGAGAGGAACTACTGACATGTGCCGGAGAGCTGGTTTCCCTCTTTCGCTGCGGGTGTGGCTGCGACTGTGACCCTGTGAGTGTTTCCCTGTCTGGTAGGGAGTTGGAAATGGTATTTATACCTAGAAAGCTAAAAGGCTGATTGAGCCTTGGGCTCTGGTGATGAGGTAGAAGACGGGTTGGTTTTGGGTGTTTGGATTGCAGGGAAGGGAAGGGCACGGGGAAGAAGATGTGGGTTTTATTTTTAAATATTATTTTTTTTGCCATGTGGCAGTGACGTCAGCACTTAACAGATCAATTGATGGAAAATGTAACAGATGTATTATTTTGAAATAAAATATTATTTAAGGTATGAAAGTGAAATATTTTAAAGATGTTGTATGTGATTGTAATAGACTTCAAACATGAGGGGCTACTATGTAATTTACCCACAAACTTATGAAGTTTACATTCTTAAATTCTTATAAAGTTTAACACACTTGCATTGCAAATTATACATTTATAATTGCCCAAAAATCTACGATGATATTAATATATAAGGATAAGACAAAGAAAACATTAATATATATATATACACACACACACATATTGCTTAAGGGGAGGGATTCCCAATTTTCTAAAAAAATGGAAACACGCTCCCACTGTTAGATTGATTTTAATGAAATTATGTGGTTGATATTAAAACACAGGCCACATAATCTCAACCATACAATTTCATTAAAGTTAAATCCAACGGTGGTGAGTGTGTCCCTATTTTTTTTTTAAAAATGGGATCCCTCCCGTTAAGCAATATATATATTAGTAAATAGTAATGACCCTTGCCCTTCCTCATTCCAAACTAATGAATCTGCACAAGGACAATTACTACTTTAAGTGAGCGGTAAAAACAATTTCATTGCTATTGTCATCCAATTGCAATTGTCTTTTACCAACTGATGGAAATGCTCTTAAAAAAAAAAGAAAATGATTCTGGCCAGATCATTTTTCTAGGAATCTTATGATCGTAATCGTTTATCGTATATCGTCAAAAGCGAATTTGAATCATATTATTGCTAATCCATTATGAAACTTAACATACTCTCTCGTCCTTTAGTATAGATACTATCGTATGTAAAAAAAATAAAAAAATAAAAAAACCTTTGTCCAAATATTATCAAGGAAAAAAAGAAAAAAGAAATAAACGAACCCAACAAAGCAAACGTTTCGTGTGCAGCGAGGCAAAGCAAAATTCACAGCGAAGCGTTTTTTTCGTATTTAAGCATGTAACACCTGTGCAGTTACTTTCGCGAAAGTAACGGAGTCCATCGTCAGAGTCGCCAAATCACGTCATCTTCTCGAACCAGCAGTCATGTTGCAGAGACCTCGACGCCGCTGCGAAGGCACTGCCATGGGCGCCATCGTCCTCGATCTCCGGCCCGGCCTCGGAATCGGACCCTTCACCATCGGTAATCGGCAGTTAGTTTCTGAATTTTATTTGTTAATCATCGAATTAATTCGAAATTTGTTCATTTCTTTAACCTAAGAGCAAGAATTACTTGTGGAAATTGAAATTTGAATTGAATTATTTGCGAGCGTTTCATTTGTGTAAATTAATTTTACCATATTTGTGAGTTATCTCAGCTGTTTGATATCTGTGTGGTTAAATGTGAGTTGTTTTTTCTTGGGATTTTTAGAGTCAAGTAGTTGATGGTGTAGAGATTGGATATGAAAAATTGATTTGGCATGTGTTGGTTTTTTAAATAAATTCACTGGTGTTAGAACCGCAGCTCGGATTATTTTTGGAATTGAATCATGGATTGAAATGTTTGTTTCAGGAATGCCGATATGCGAAGCATTTGCTCAGATAGAGCAGGAGCCTAACATTTACGACGTTGTCCACGTGAAGTTTTACGACGAGGTTGGATCAGTTTGCTAAGTTGTGTATCATTATGGCCTGTGTAATCTATTGTAGAAGCACATTTTGTTGGGTTTCATTTTTTTTTCCCTAATATTAGGCGTATGCACATGTTTCGTGGGATGAAACAAATAGCTCAGTGATTCATAAAGTGCATGTACTGAAATACCGATAAGTTGTAATGACTGCTTATCACTGTTCTTCTCCCATGCAGGAGCCCCTGAAGTTGGATATTGTTATCAGCTTTCCAGATCATGGTTTTCATCTTCGTTTTGATCCTTGGTCACAGGTTCGTTTTTGCATACGTCTGATTTGTTCTCTTTCGTGCTCGTGCCTTTTTCTTTGCGTATCAAAAATTTGTTTTTACATATGTGGCGATCTTTTGTTTACTTTGATTCCTCATAAATATATGACCCGAGGGTGATGCAGCTATTAACTAATGGCCATGTACTGTGGCATGTGGTATTTACTCATCAATTAAAATTGTTACTATTTAAAGAAAATCCACAAATACTTGACCGGATTCTTTTATTTTAATGGTTGTAGTAGCTAATACCGTGTGTTAAAAGTTACCTTAATTGGTTGTCATACAAAATAAGAAAATGTCTGTGGGATGTTAGAGCGGTACGCCATGGGTAGTCCATGAAACACTGGCAGATAGCCATCCTCTTCAGCTATTTTTCTCTTTAGCGGGTTAATACGGCTATGCTTTTGATTCGTATATGTCTATTTTATTTAAAATGGCAGGTGAATTTGTACATGGATTGCTTTTACTGTTGGGTTGTAATATCTATAAATACCTCCTGATATGATATGGCTTGCTGATTTGAAATTTTGGTGCAGAGGCTACGTCTTGTTGAAATATTTGATATAAAACGGCTTCAAATGCGCTATGCTACTTCTTTGATTGGGTGAGTTACTTTACTTGAGGCTTTCTATTATATACAATGAGGCATACTATTGAATTTCGTCTCTACTTTCAGGGGACCATCTACATTAGCTACTTTTGTAGCTGTATATGCACTATTTGGGCCAACTTTCCCTGGAATTTATGGCAAGGATAGAGGTGTCTACACTCTGTTTTACCCAGTATGTAAATTTAACTTGACTTTCATATTTCTTTAATTTTATCTACTTATGAATCATCTTACAAGCTGGAATCTGTTTTGTGTGTCTACCAACCATGGCTACTGTAGGGGCTTTCCTTTTCTTTTCCAATTCCTAGCCAGTATACAGACTGCTGCCATAATAGAGAAGGTATTTTACTGACACTGTTTACTCAATTGCTTCTTGCTTCAAAAATTTTGCAAGCTCTAATTACTTGAATTTTTTTTTTCGGTTGTTTATGAAAGTGGAATTGCCATTGGAGTTTCCTGATGGAACCACACCAGTTACGTGCCGTGTCTCTATATATGATAGTTCTACAGATAAAAAAGTTGGTGTGGGGTCCCTAATGGATAAGGCATCTGCTCCTCCATTACCTGTTGGCAGCCTCTATATGGAAGAGGTGCACGTTAAGGTTTGACTTTTTTCTCCATCTTTCTGGCATAATTTCAGTTAAACCATGGTTTGTTTTCTTCTATGAGCTTGAGGGGAATCATGGAGATTTTAAACCATGATTTGGAGAAGAATCAAATGCTTTGGCTTTGCGGCTTCCTTCATTTGTGGTTTACTATTGCCCCAGTGAGCAGTTTGACACTGGTGATTGTTGTTCTTGGATGTAATCCAATTCAGTTTTTATTTTATCCAGCTAGGGGAAGAATTGTACTTCAATGTTGGTGGCCAGAATATTCCTTTTGGAGCTTCACCTCAGGCAAGTTTTAATTTTGCTTTGTTTAAGCTCTAGTTAGTCTTTCTATTTGGCTGGCTAGTTCTGCCATTCTTTCGTTGTTCATCCTGTGTAATTCATGTTTTTTCTTTTTATTTACAGGATGTTTGGACTGAATTGGGTCGTCCGTGTGGCATACATCAGAAGCAGGTAACTCCCACTGTTATGCCTATGTAGTATGTTTTCTAAATGCATTTGTCTTCTTGTTGGTGATTGTTGATTCTCTGTGCTGTGTAGGTAGACCAAATGGTTATTCATTCTGGCTTGGACCCTCATCCACGGACAACTCTCTGTGGCGATTACTTCTACAATTACTTTACACGTGGTTTGGATATTTTATTTGATGGCCAGGTATTAACTTATTTTCTGGTTAAATATACATTCAAAATGTTTTGCATGGTAATATTTGTGCTTGGAAGTTCTCAGATCACTTTTCTTTTTGTTTGCCTCCAGACTCACAAAATCAAGAAGTTTGTTTTGCATACAAACTATCCTGGTCATGCAGATTTCAACTCTTACATAAAGTGCAATTTTGCCATCTTTGCATCTGACTGTAAGTCCCCCACTGATTCTTCTGAAGTTTCGAGTTGGATCTATTGACTTAGAAACCTGATAAACACATTAATCATCCCTTGCAGTAGGGGGGTCTTATCAGGATGTAAATAACTGCAAACCTAGGATTACACCTAGCACAAAGTGGGAGCAAGTGAAGGTAAACTTTCTCTTGGCCGTCGTTTTTTAAACTGTTATATTTGTACTTTGTTTCATTGTTTTCCATGAGTAACGACTTTCTCATTGATAGCTTATGTCGTCCGTGTATTCCTTTCAGTGTATCTTGACCATGATTGGGGTCATGGTAGTAACAAAAGATTACTTTTTGTAGGAAATCCTTGGGGACTCTGGCCGAGCTGCTATTCAGACTCAAGGTTCTACAAGCAATCCATTTGGATCTACTTTTGTATATGGTTATCAAAATGCTGCATTTGAGGTGAGATGATGATTGCTAATTCATCGTTGCTTATGTTTTCTATGGTTGTGCATGGGATTGCTGATAAATATTTTGTTGATTATCAACAGGTGATGAAGAATGGTTACATTGCAACCGTGACCCTTTTCCAGTCATCGTGATTCTGTTGCAAACAGGTACTCCTTTTAGTAGTATCATGTTTCCTTGCTCATTGGCAAACAAATGCATTGTTATATCCCATCTATGAGATTACCATCAACAAGGCTTGTTGAATTTTTTTTCTGTCCATCGTTGAAATGCATCTCGTGGTTCAGTGTTTTGATTTTTTTTTGCCGCAGTTGGATGATGGAACTTAATGGGGAAAGCCGTTTGGATTCATAATTGTACAGTTGTATAGATTAAGTTTGTACAGAATAATTCATACGGTAAAAACACGTAAACACTCTGCATCTTCTCTGTTACTGTTCAAATGGAAGTTTGTTCTGTAAGCCCCTGATGCATTATCCGTGCCCAGATTGTATGACGATGTTCACAGTCGATCGACGTGACGTTTACAGATTTCTCATAACTGAATCAGCCTTGTATCATTTGGGATGACAATATCAGTTTGTACACAATGAAAAGAGAACATGAAGGATTTCATTTACAGGTGCCTATGTACTATGTAGTAATTGAGGAGCGTGGCAAATGGCGAATGGCAGCCCCTTTGCAAATGAACTCTTTTAAGGGTTACAGCTATTTGATGCTCCCCACAAATGTAGATAAAATTGCGATTGTTTTGAATCAACTCAACTTACCCGTGCACAGAGTGTACAAAAAAATTTGTGTTCGAAGCTGAAACTGCTATTTTTTAAAGTAGTTGGATGGTCGAAAGGCGGATTCTTACTTCTTTCTCTCATTCAACTCTATGCATGAGACTTTTACAACGCATGGTGGTTCCTGAGTGATAAAAGAAAGGAAAACTTTTCTTTTTTGTTTGAGTATCTTCATCGCATATGTATAAGTCGAATCTATTCAAAGTCTAAATGTTGAAAAATGATTACTAATCCTTCACTTTTTGGATAACTGCTATTTTTAAAGTAGTTGGATGGTCGAAAGGCGGATTCTCACTTCTTTCTCTCATTCAACACTATGCATGAGACTTTTACTGCGCATGGTGGTTCCTGAGTGATAAAAGAAAGAAAAACTTGTCTTATTTTTTGTTTGAGTATCTTCATCGCATATGTATAAGTCGAATCCATTCAAAGTCTAAATGTCGAATGATTGATTTTTCTCTATCTTTCGCCAATAGCAAGTCAGAAATGATGAGAAAAGGACTGAGTTTCTTTTACAATAGGAAAATTACCGTTCATTTCATTAGGTTAAAAAGGTCCCCAAAAAAAAAAAAAAAAAAAAAGTGGTTAAAAAAATCACATTCCGTTGGCGGGACTTGAACCCGGGTCTTTCGGGTGAGAGCCGAATATCCTGACCAACTAGACTACAACGGATCTCATGTTCTCTTGTACTATTTACATTTTTATAAATGTATTTACTCGTATACAACGAGCCCAATGACTGTAGGCAACAGGGAGGGACTAGCACCTTCCTTTGTTTTCGGCAGCAAGGAAGGATTAGGAGGGTTTTAGCGTTTTTGGCCTTCTCTTCTCTCTGCCTCTCTCCTATCCGCTGTAGACGACGACGCCCCTGTTGCTGCCGCCACAGTCCTCCGCAAAACCCAGTCAACACCGCCGTCTTCAGCCCCTTTATCTTCCACCATCCGCCACCAGGTTTACCAATTTTTTCTCAAAAAATTTTCACCCTTTTTTCTGCTATAAGTTTCTTTGCCGGCTCAGAACTATCGTGGTCTGTGAATTCCAAATACTTGATAAAAACATAAAGGACTGATTAACTCTGCAATTGGTCAAAACCCAGAAGTCAACTTCTCTCGCATTCACTGCAAATTTCAGTTCCAGGTAAAATCCATCACAAGTAAAGAAAACTGGAATTTGGGCAGCTAATTGGTATTCAATTGCATTTTCCTGCCATTGCCTTGTTGGGTTTGTGTTCCGGAATATCACCATAAAATTGTCAGTTTAAGTGATTCAGTGGTTATCCAGAAATGAACCATTTTTTTCCTTCATGCAGTGTGTTTGATTCTGTTTGTTTGTTTCGACAGAGAGTGCTGCGAAGATGACTTCTGTTTCGGGATTGACTGGTAGTCCCTCCAGATTCTGCTTCCAAATTCCAGCACGAAGTTCTGGTTCACTACGAGGGCGAGTTTCGAATTTCCCTCATGGTTGGAAGCCTGCAGGAAAGAATGAGCTACTTCGTGTGGAAAGGTACAGCCAGGGCAGTATCAGTTATTAATTTCACGTAGTGTGGTTACCTTCTCGGTTTGCTTATTTGTTTTCTTCTAAAATCAAGCAGAAGTTATTGGACTGGCTTTGCACAAAGGTTGAACGCACGGAAAACACATCTGATCAAGTTTGCCGTGGATGCATCCTACGGCGATATGTCCAATGAACCAACTGGTAATTTTCATCTTATTTTTCTGAGGGCAGTTATATTTTCATTTACTTTGGATGTTGTTGTATATGTATGAGTGCTTGTGTATAACTTCCTTCAAGCTTGAACACACTGGTCCTTGTTGCACAAAACGGTATGAAGAAAATTGGAATGTAGAACCTAACACGAAGGATTCTCAACAGCCCTTCAGCTGGTGTATTTGGTTGCGGCCTTTGACGTGTCTAAACTTCGTAACCAAGTCGAACCAAAACATTTAGGTGCATTTGTAGGAGTCTTGACATCGGTAGCTTGGTTAGGTTAGACGTATTTCGTTCAACCCTGTAACCGTTAATTTGATCAATTACCATTGACCTGATTCGTTTTTATTAGATATTGTAACGAAACAGCATCTTTATCTCTCTGATCTGTTTTCTTCTTCACTGCCCTTGCAAGTAAAGCTATTTTCCCTAGGATTAATGTGAGGGACCCCTACAAACGACTTGGAATAAGCAGGGAGGCTTCGGAAGATGAGATTCAAGGTGCAAGGAACTTCCTTATCCGACAATATGCAGGTCACAAACCAAGTGTAGATGCAATTGAATCAGCCCATGACAAAATAATCATGCAGAAGTTCTATGACAGGAAGAACCCCAAAATTGACTTTAAGAAAAAGTACAGGGAAGTCAATCAGTCCCGTGTTGTTCAGGCTGTGAGAAATAGGTTCCGAACTCCGTCCACAATTTTCATTGTAAAAACGTCCATTGCATTTCTAGTGCTTGCAGCTCTCACTGTTCTATTTCCAACCGAAGAAGGTCCAACCCTTCAGGTTGCCCTTTCCTTGTTGGCCACCATCTACTTTGTACATGACAGGCTGAAGAGCAAATTACGAGCTTTTCTCTACAGGTACGTAAATAGTTTCTGTATAGTTACTCTATTTCTCCATTGATTTTCCATATAGAACAACTGACTTGTTCTCTATTGAAATTTATTCTTTATTATACTTCATTATCTTCCGTATTTTTGAATAATTGAACCGAAAATTACAACATGCTCTTCCTTCACTCCAAATTTGAACTCCGTATCTTAACTCACCATATTCAAACTTTAAATTTGGCAACGGCGAAAAGGTATGGATAAATTGTTTGCTTTGGCGCAGTGCTGGATCATTTGCTTTCTCATGGCTTTTCGGAACCTTCTTGATGGTCTGTGGTTCCACCTCTACTGAAAGGACCAAGGAGTTTCGAGGTGACAACGTCATTGATAACCTATGTGCTACTCTGGGTCTCGTCAACCTATCTCAAGTAGTTTCTGTTCTAACGACACACCTCAATTTTGTTGGAGTTGGAAACCGCAGATTTTCTCGGAGATTTAGCTCATGCGCGGACTTTTCCGCTATAGTGACGGTGCTGATGACGATGCTGATAATTCTGGCAAAATGTAGAAGAGATTTGTTTTCTGTCATTTGGAGAAGTGTAAAATTAGATGAAAGTTAAGATCGGTTTAAGCAATTGACCTTTTGTTCCCTTATTTTTGTTAATTATAATAATCAATCATTTTTTTTTCTTCTACATAAGTGGAAAACCAAGTATAGAACCATGTGTGTTTTCTCTTTTTATTTAGGTGGCATCCCAATTTAATCTAAATTATTTGGAGAAGAGTTCAAATTTGGGTGCAAAAAAGAGGACGCATACTGTTCTAATTAACTTGGCTATAATTAGATTTGCATGACGTGATAACGTATGTCATACTGTTCTAATTGTTTTCGGTGTTAATTGGTAAAATGAAGGTAAATTGACATAAGTTTTATGATTCTCGCAGTGGACCCTCTCAGGGCTACTGAACTTCATAGACGGTCTGTGGTCGAGCTGTGGCGACGAGAGGATTATAATTTTCACAACCAACCACAAGGACCGTCTTCACCCGGCATTGTTGCGTCCGGGTTGAATACTGCACTCCAACTGGGTTCAGCATCTTAGCCTCGAACTACCTTGGCGTTCGTGGCAGAAACGACCACCGCCTGTGTGGAGAAGTTGAAGGGTTGATACAGGACAAAGAGGTCAGCCCTGCTGAGGTTGCTGAGGAGCTCATGAAGAGGGACGATGCTGATGTCGCTCTTCATGGGCTCGTCAATTTCCTCGAACGTAAGAAGGTCGAGAACGATAAAAAAAGAGGAGGAAGGGGCTGATGATGCTGAAATTCAACAAGCAAAGAGGCCAAAAAATGGACAAAAACAATGAAAACAATAAAAAGGAGGACCAAGAGGCCAAAAATGGGCAAAAATGTAAACGACGAATCATTGAATGTGGAAAATAAAATGTCGCGTATTCGCTCTTTTGTTGGAAAAGAAACTTAACAACATGAAATACTCATCACAAGATCATACAACGGATTACCAAAGCGGTTCTAAAATGCGCGCACGCGCTTGTTATTTTTCAATGGATTGTCGTGATATGTACACAAGGAAAGAAGAGGAACAACGATATACCTACAAATACGATCCGTGTACATACGGGGATATCCGTCATAGATTCATAACCAAACATCTCTTGACAAGGCACAGAGTCAGATTAAGATTAGTTATACAAGTAGTTCCCACGTCAGATAACTATATTACATGTAACTCCTACCGGCTTCTTGGCATTCAGACAGCCACAAGTCGATGTGTTCAACAATTTGTTGCCGTACTTTGTTGACTGCATCAGGGTTGCTGCAGTTCTGGGAATTGCCTGAAACAAAAGTGATAAATCCTAATTAAATAGGATAGCAAGCATTAAAAACTTATCAACAAGCACCGCCTTCCATGAAAATCTTGTTCGGATTCAAAGTATCCAGCTAATTTGATTGACACAATTAAAGCCCTTTACAAACATGGAAAACTTCCAATGGCCGCTAAAATTAGGAAGCTTTTCCTCGGAAGCTAGTATGTGTCATTGAGGTTGCACAGTTACACTAACAATACATACCTTCAAGGGTTAAAGGAGACTGAGGGCATCCTCTCAAATCCGTTCCATGGCCACAGTTATGGCAAGAGATGATGTACGAAGGCACTAATAGTTTATACAAAAAACGAGAATTCAGAAAGATCTGACATAGTTCGAATATTTTCGCATCAATTCATAGGATAGCATTAATGAAACTTTTCATTGAAGCAATGTAGTACTCACTTTCTGGAGATGAAGTTTGTTTGGATGCATGACGCCAGGGGTCCTGTGAACCATTTGTAAAAACAATTTTTGAACCTGCAGATTCATTTTTCATAAGATCATGTAAACCAATGATTGATGCCATAACTGATAACAAGAAAAACGGATAACTGATGCCATAACTGGTGCCATAACTGTTACACTGATGTGGTTTGTTGTAGAAGAAACAAGAAAAACGGATAACTGATGCCATAACTGGTAGTAAAACAAATGCTCTCAGTTGGTAGGCGGTCTCCGGGGATAGGTGGGGTAAGGTTAAGAGCCAGTATGGAACAGTAGATAGAAATTATGCTACTTAAATTGTAATATATAATAACCAGGGAAGATATTTACATATAAATAGGGAAAGAGAGATCGATGTTTTTACCTGCAATTTTTGTGCCTCCATAGTATAAGTTTGTTGCAAGAACGTCAGGATAGATGCCGTCTCCAAAAACATTTTTGCAAAGGTCTTCATGGTATCTGTGACAATGAAAAACTACGAATCAGAGACACATACAAGAGCTACAAAGTTGAACTACAGGACTGTAGGAAAAGGGTAAGTAGAAATAATAAACAAAATAGTATAATAAAAAGACATTTTCAGAATCATACTTTGTGTCAACTTTTGAAGACCTGATGCTATCATTTGCAGGAGCCACCTGAAAATATGCAACTTCAGTACAAACTTGGAACCACCACAACCGATCAGAACTGCCCTCAGTAACAGCAGTGTTCTTCAAGTGTTTCTGGTTATATGTTTCAACGTCAATGCCAAAAGTTCCAAGGTAATAATCTTTAATGTATTTGGCGTACGCTTCCTGCAAGAAGATTATTTTTCCCATTAGAAACATTAGACACCCAGAGACAGTTAACAAAGGCATTTTCATGAAGCATAAAAGCCCAAGGACAGAATTGGTGGCACTCCTTACAAGTTAAAACACATAGAGATATGTGCATAACGGGTAATTTATTTAGACACTGCCAGGTAGACTACAACTACTGTAAACACGTTGACCAAAAAACAATCTAGTAGCTGAGGATAATTATATAACACAACTGTGGACCAAGACTGCTTCATGCTTCAATTAAAGAACGAAAGGGAATGAAAAGAAGAGAAGCATACCACCAAATCCTCTCCATTCGTCTTTGCTTGAACAAGAGGTGAGCATAATTTATCGGGATTTCCATATTGAAACTGCAAAATGTCAAACAAATAATCATCAATAATTTGATAAACCGAAAATGGAGTGACAAAACTCATAAAGAAGTAACACTTACCGCTATAACAGCAGCATCCGCCAGAAAATACATGAAGTCACCATCAATATCAAGCTGCACACAGACTTAAGGTCAATATGCAAGTGAGAAAAGAAAAAAGAAAATCCCACCACTGAGAAACTGGACTCGGGCTATTAAATTACAGCATGATTTACAAATGGTGAGTGCAAAGTGTGAAAATTCCAACCTGGCTTGCACCAAACAACGCCTTTATTGCTTGTCCATTAGTTGTGAGACTTTGTTCAACAAGATGAGTAGTTTCTTGAAGTGCAGCTTTACATTCTGGACCTGCAGACTCACCAATCTGCATTTGGAGAGGATTGTAGTTAGGCGAAAAAGGGCCGAAAGTAGAGACCAAAACTGCAATCTCGTTCTCATCCTAAGGGCGAAGCGAAAAGGCCAAATTAACCGAGTGATCACCTGCTGGTCAAATTCAGTGAAGTCATAAATAGCTTCAACAACTGCAGAACTTGCAAGACTTCCACATGTCAAATGCGGGAACTTAACCCGAAACCACGCACTAAGAGCTCCCGGGTAAGAAACACCAAACACGAACCACGGATTGTCACCCTTGTTTCTATTCAGCTTCACATTTAACCCATTCTAACACAATCACACCAAAAAATCCAGTAAATTGCAAGCTCAATTGGGTAAAATATCTAAATCCAGGCAGCAAATTCAATAATTTCTTGCCTGATAAAACTCACGAAAAGCCGCCAGATCGAAAAGCGCTTGCTTGGATGACAAGTACTTCAAATTCTGCGTTGTATGCGTCTTGAAAGGAGAGCTTTTTCCGTAGTATCGATGCTCGGGCGAAACGATAGCTGCCCCAAACTTCTTAGCCAACACCTGCACATAATGAATTCAATAAAATCTCCAAAATTTCCGATTTTTCTTCTAAAATTACAAATTTTACACCTAAAATTCAGAAAAAAATCAGAACTTACACTCAGGTAATCGTTGGCAATGCCGCCGCATGCGGATTCTCCGCAAATTTTCAGGAAAATTGGTCCGTCGGAAGGTCTGAAGTAGTCGAGAAATTCGTAGTAGCGCTGCGGGAATTTGCGGCGGTCGTACGGCGAGAAGTGGTCAAGAGTCTGATCGAACCACAGCTCCTCCTTCGTCAATAACTTTCCGCCGCCGCTTCCCGACGAGCTCTCCAGCTGAAGAAGTGTTCGCGGATTGACAAAGCCATAAGAGAGCGGCGTCCACATCATCATTGCGAAGAGGAAGGACAAGGAGAACGAAAACGACGTCATCATCGGAAATCGGGTCTCGGAATCCCGGGTGGTTGATTGGCGCCGCAGGTGGCGGTGGATCGCTGTTTCTATAAACGTCAACTGCAGCAAGCAATCCTTTCTGTCCTGGATTTTAATTAGATTTTGATTTGCTTTAATTTAGACCGGGCCGGTCTTTATAGTTACGGAGGGCTGATGGACCGGCCCAAAATTCGGTGGTCTTGTAGTGGGCTGTTGAGTGTTGACTGATTTATTTATCTTGAGTGGAAATGAAGAAAAAAAAATTAGAATAAATAAAGGTGTCTTTGTTAATGTTTTGTAAAAATAAGTGAAAAATACGTTTCTGTTGTAAAATCGACTGTGGGTGCAGTGGAATAAATGAAACAAGACACAAAATTTACGAGGTTCCTCTACAGTCAGTGTGACTGGAGTACGTCCTCGGGGCAGCAGCGGCGCTTTCATTATAATTTGAAATAATAGGAGTACAAAGATAACTCTCTCTATTATCTCCTCTCATCTTCCTCTATTCTCTCTTCCTCTTCTTTCTCTCTCTTCTTTCCTCTCTCTCTCTCTTCCTTTCTTCCTTTCTTCCTTTTCCTTCTTCTCTCCCGTGAACCCATTTCTTCCTCTTCCTCTCATTCATTTTATAATCAAAGAGGACACTATTCACCTTACAAATTTTCCACAAATGAATAGTGAAAATAATGTGAATAAATAGTAACAAACTATTCATGTGGGCCATCCACATAATATTTACAACACTCCCCCTTGGATGGCCACAAGTCTTCGATTGACTCGTTAAAATCTTGATCTGTTTTGGATGCTCCCCCTGATGAGTATCTCCCCCTGATTTCAAATCATTTTAGGTTGATCGTTGATCGTTCTGCTTTAGTCTCTTAGTAAGAAGAGTTGCTTTACTTGTTGTTAACTTTCCACAGGCTTTTTCTTGAACTGAGTTGTAGGACTTTCTGCTAGACTAGTATCGAAGATCTGAATTTACTCCTTTTATCTGGAGCGGAATTTGATTCAAAAGTGGTGG